AATTGTCTACAGCCTTTATTGGCTTTTACCATCCTGAGGACCTCAACCAGACAGCAGTCTACACGTACCTACGTGGCTGGCTAGCTCAAACTCACTGTTATGGATTTCATTGACTGATGAAGCTATGTTTTCGTTTGACCACCATTAGCTCTTTTCCAGCCTGATCCATCCTATTTCAGCGGCTAACATCGCTCGTCGACGAAGGTGATGGATGGCTAGGCATGCCTAACACACATGTCCTAATCATCTTAATTAGTGTAACTTCACAACCACATCGATTGATTTCCCCTCCTTACCTAGCACTTGACACCTAACATGGGAGATAGAACGTAGGTTTTACACCCTAGGAAGTGAACCACACCACTCTATGTGTCTCAAAAACTTCACAGTTTACGGCCATATTGTTGTTTTAGCCATTTATACCTATTTTCCAACCTATATCTTGTACCAGCTGACGGCCTGCTTGAATCCCCCCTGGTCTACTTGAATTTTGAACCAATGTAATGCATCACATTTTCCCTAAGTTTTATTGTTTTTTGATCAAACAATTATGCCCTTGACTCACAGAATGTACTCACGCACATTTTTAATTGGCTTTCAAACCAGCGGTGTGTGGATTTCTCGAAGAAGACAGAAATATATCATAAGGAATTAGACCACGCTTCAGATGGAACAGCAATGTTTCATAACTTACAACATAACTGATCGTATCCGCAAAAATAGCTTGCATTTCTTGAAAACACCCGTTTATAAGAAAATATAAACTGTCATTATTATTAGTCCACATTGAGTACAATTCACTTGTGATGTTACGATGAAAATGCTGACAAAAGTATACAAGTGTATCACGTATTTTAAATTATTACCAAATTTGGATATAAATCAAGAATAAGACTCGATGCCGTACACACCAAAGTTATATGGGGGAATTACTTCAAGCTTTATTTTTTCCCAAGTATTTGTAATCCACCCAAAACATACTTGGGTTTTTTTGTTAATGCGAAGACAATATTTCTATATTTCTTGATGCGTTCCATTGAATGACTAGTTATCATATTGTTCCCATAGACAAAATGACTGCAACCTTATAATTTTACCATGAACCAAATTTATGTAATTTAAATAATACTTATCCATGCCTGTACAATTGGTGTGTCCTACACAGGTAGGAAAAAATGTATTTTATTAAATTACTATTATTAAATATGCTTACTAATCGTATATGTAATTTATCATATTGATGATGCCTGTAAACTGGCATCCCTCATGTAAAAAATGAGAATATATTATTATTATTATTATTATATAACGTCCTGTAGATTGCTGGTTTACTTATAGATACTCGATAAAGAGGGAAGATTATGCAATGATTTACGCTGAGAATTATGTACACTGTGCAAATATTTTGTCCAGAATGAGGCTACCATTATCGTCGGTTAGAATGCACGCATTGATCTAAAGATTCGAGCTACTCCTGAAGACTAAAATAAGACGCCCAACATGTATGTAGAAAGGAAATGGATATATTAATCGGAAATACACTGAGAAGGAAACAACGGGCCCTTAAATGGAACCTGAATGGGACAACGGAGAGTTGGGCGTCTTTTCGAGGGTGACATATACAAGAGAGATGGCATCAGGAGGAGATTAAACCTTGTAAGTAATCGATCGTGAAACCAGCTAGAAGAGACTGCAGAAAACAGAGTGAAATAGTTATGCGCTGTTGAATCCCTATTTTCCACTTAAAACTCAAGGGAATAATAATACATGATAATTATTGACAGATTGTTGAAATAATCAATTCAGTTTTAGATTTTCCCGTCGATTGATGATTGGACCGAAGTGCTCGGTGTCAGGTTGACATGTGTGTCGGCTTCTTGTGCAGATGCTTCAACGATGTCTGGGCATGTAATTATAAGTTAATTAATTGGTGGATGGTGACTAGCAGTGGATGGAATCCAGGAGAACGAGCATTTCGTCTTATTTGGGACTCGTCAGCCTCGGTGGGAACATCATCACTCACTGGGGAATACAGGCACATTCAGCTAGTTGACGAGTCCCAAATAGGACGAAATGTGCATCTTGGATTCCACCAATTAACTTCTAAAATTACATGTTGAAATATTCGTTTGAAAGTCTTTTAGAGAGGGAGAGATTTTAATAAATAATCGTTCAGCTTTGAAATATGCAGTAAGGTGACACATCAAAATATTATGAAGTAAGTGACAATCAAACAGCAATCATGATTATTACTATTATTAATAATAATAATAGAAGCATACTGACACTTGAGGTCAACCTGTTATTCAAGTGTTGGATTGCAGAGACTTGATTTGATTGGTTACAAGATTTCATCATGAACTGATATCGGTTAGAGAACTGTTGGAAACCAACAATGGAGTGCTGAACTGCTGTTTCCTCCTAGTTCGGGACTTTTCGGCGGCACACATCCACTGCTAGGGCTCAAACCCAGAACCTTCTGGTTACAAGGCGAGTTCGTAGACTATTACGCCACTGGGACCGGATCCAATGGCAAGTGCATGAAGTTTAACTTCTGCCAATTCACGATATAGCGCGACTGGCCCTATTCATGTAGGTCGCTACCTGGATTCTAGTGAGAAGTTGTGACCAGTAGGGTACAGCAGGTCAAATATGAGGATAAATACTCGTCACGGATGACATTGGCTAGTGTCAGTCGCACTATACCATGAATTGGTATAATTTGCCTTAATGGCCTACGAGCTCATCTTGTAACCGGAAGTTCCTGGATTCAAACTCTGGCGGTTGGTACGTACCGTGAAGAGTCCTGAAACGGGGTGAAACAGCTGTCCAGTACTCCAAGGTTTTCAAATGATCATCTAACCTATGTCAGTTCATGATTAAATCCTGTAATCAATCAACGTGTTATATTAGACCTCAGTTACCGAGGCTATGGAGTTACACGCTGAAGTGAATAGAACAGGAATCAAACCGAGGACGCACTAACACTGGAAGCCGAGTTGCTTAAGCCTGTGAGTCACAGCTTCACAACTTTCAATCAGTAATTTCAAACTTTGTTTTATCTACCAAGCTGTCATATACTCCCTTGAGCACAACAGATGTGAATCACTGTTAAATGTATCAGTATGTTCGTAGGTATTGTAATTTATTACTAATATTATCCAATTTCATAGGGCTCCAACATTTTCCCGCTTCGCAATTCGTTAACCCACCCAGTAAAGATTTATTCACCGGTCGGGGGAGGGGGGAGGGACTACAAGATATGCAGGATCTATAATGCTAGCTGATAAATTCAAGTAAACTATATACGTCCGCTGCACGTTTCTCGACTTCACTTCTGCTTTCGACTCTGTACCTAGATGTCTCTTGCTAAATAAGCTCTCTATGACAAAAACTGAGTCCTGGGTCACTAACTGGTTGCATTCCTACTTCTCTAACAGAAAGCAGTACACCGTATACAAAGGTAAATCCTCCTCTGCTGCGCTCACTGAAGCTGGTGTCCCCCAAGGTGCTGTACTCTCCCCACTTCTCTTTTCTTTCTTTCTACATGACTTACCATCTTCAAATGACATTAATTTTGTCAAATATGCTGACGACCTGACAGTATCTTTGCCTGTCAAATATCAAAGTGACTGCTCTAAACTTAATGGCTTTCTGTCAGAAATCAGCCAGTGGTCCAAGGAAAACGGTCTTACCTTAAACCCCTCCAAATGTCAAACAGTCAATTTCACCTTTAGGCATAAATCCGACCTAAACAAACTGGTTGGCTCTCACGAGGTATGCAACATAGATGGCACTGAAATAGAAACCAAGTCGGAAATTAAATACCTAGGCGTCATTCTATCTGCTGATCTCTCCTGGTCGTCTCATATCTTAGCAATTTCTAAGAAAATATTCCGTCTTACCTTCTACATCAAGAAGTTAAGATATTCTGGTATAACCCAACCCTTACTCCTACAATTCGTTAACTCTCGCATTCTGCCTATTATTCTCTATTGTTCCCCCTTAGTTTTTCCAGGGTTACTGAAGAAAGACTATAACATATTACGCAGGATGTTAAAGGTTGTCAGCAGGGTAAGCAACGTGCCACTTAACCAGCTTGTTAATATTCTGGTTGACAGGCACATGGACTCATGTGAAAAATGGGCCAAATCCATTCTGTCTAACTCACGCCAACCTCTTCATTCACAACTCTGCCCTTGCATCTCATCAGGCCAAACCAGAAGCCTATATAGAAAACTATATGCTCGCACCAGCAAGTACAAAAAACTCAACCATACTCTACTTAGCTCGTGTTCTGTGCGATAAAGAAAGCATTAGGCGTGACACCTATAATTCATTAAATAGTCAGTAGAACAACTGGATCTCGTCTTTCCAACTCATATCATTTAAAGGTACAACGTTTTCTTTCTTTCTTTTCCTTTTCTCTCTCTCTCTTTTTCTGTTATGTGCTGCTTTGTTTCTTTCTTCCGCTTACGCCAGTAAATATGATAGCACCTACTTTTCTAACACCTTCAAACACTGTTCAACTTTGGCTTTGCTACCGACATGCCAAGGTGTTGTTGTTATAATGAACTGAGATTTCCTTAATCTATGTAGAATTCTATTTATTGATAATGTACTAACTGGATGCAATACTGTAGTAAAAATGCTGAGAATTCCATTCTGTATCACATGTACTGTTTTGGAATAAAGCAAATTATTATTATTATTATTATTAAAAAGCAACTTACGAACCTTTTCAATGGAACTCTATGAAACTGACGTAGGCGTAACGGACTCATAAATGTTGGGAAAAATGGTGGCCATAATTCCACAGCCGGTGTACTATGCTGTAGTGGACCACATCGTGCTAGACCGCCTAAAGCTAGTGCACCGCTTCGAATGGCATAATATTCATCATTGGATAAATTTAATGGATCTTTTGGTGGGATACCAGAGACAGCGGCTGCAGCTGACGCTAAAGCAGCATTACCACTGTCTGAATTGAATTCACCAGCCTCTTGAAGTTGATCTACTACTCCTCTATCATTATCTGCAGTCATTAGTTTCTCTGATTGATTTGGTTGCCAATCATCCTCGGCTAAAAGACCATGCTAAGAAAAAATTGCCAGAGAAAAGAAAAAAGCAATAAAAATATTTCACATATGCGGCGGTTGTTTGGTACACATAAAGATTAGCAAAATTAATGAACAGATTGACAAATGTTCTGAAGTCGGATTACGAAGTGATATCGGTTAGAGAAAGATTGATCTAATATTCTCCAGTGGGAAGTCGTAACCTAGTCGGATTTGACGGCAAATACTCTCCGATGAAACTGACTGGCAGTGGAAAAATATAGGAGTCACAGGTCACTTGATTCAGTCCTGGTGGCTGCATGCTTTACGGACTCACCTCGTAGCCTATAGATCCTGGGACTGATGTCTACTGACTGAGGTTACCGGTATTGTACTGTTGAAGGGGCTTAAACCAGGACGAAACAATTGCCCGGCAATCTCTGGGTTTCAATGGTTCTTTAGCTGATGTTCGGTCATGATTAAACTTGAAAACAGTCAAATTCCTGTAGATCAATCAATACTTGGAAAACTATTTTCCATACCCATAAAATGTACAGGTTAATAAGTTAGTTTATCAACCACATATGTCAGGTCTAGATCAATGAATCTGATCTCTTATAACAGAACATGAGCATAAGGCGCGGACAACATATGCTCAATAATGTTCTTCGTATTGAGTTCATCGGATAAGTCCTTCATGTTTCAGGCCATGGGTTTTACGGATAATATGAGAAGTCAGTGTCCAAGCTGAAGCAGGTGGTAGAGAGAGAGACTTGAAACCAAGATCCACTGAGTGGAAGTCGAGGGGTTAATTAACTCATTGGGCCACATCCAGAAGTTTAACAATAACTAATTTCAATAAAAAGTTCACTGACATATCATAGCTAATTGTTTTACACTTTCGATAAAATGTTGACATCAGTTGGAGAGCTATTTTAAAGCCAGGCAGTACTAGACAACCGTTTCGTCCCAGTCTGAGACTCTTCATAAGTATGCACCCACCAGGGTTCGAAACCAGGACCTTCGGGTCACAAAACGATCTTGTAGACGATTCAGTCACTGAGGCCTGACCCAATATCCCATGAATTCCAACTTCTGCCATTTCATGATAAATGACGCAACCGCCAGCCATTGTCACAGGAGAGTAACTATTCTTCTACCTGACTTGATGCAACCAGCTGTCTACGACTTCTCACTAGAAGTCCAGGTGACTTTCTGTATGTATATATAGTCTTTAGTGAGCACCATATTAATTTTTAAGTGTTTGGGACTATAAAAACTTGAAATAATTCTCTCTGATGCATTACATCTGGGTCTGTTTGTCTGGATTTAACGTAGAACTTGGAACCGAAGTGCAGCAGTTCCAGTTGCCACGCTCCAAATAGCACACAAACGTAGACAAGAAGTTGAGTGAAGAGAATCAATAGAGTTTTGACAAGTATAAGAGTGAAACAGAATGAATGAGTAATGGTAGAAAGGAATATGAAAGATTACCCAAGAGACTGAATACATCTGCGTAAGCCATTGACAACGATTTTGAGCCTATTGTCTCCAGCCATTGATTCTCAGAGTCCCGAAGGCAGGCCCCAACCCGGAAGTCTGCATCTCTCTACATGACTCAGTTTAACTGTCAAGGATTTCATGGATTGATGAGGCCATGTTTTTGTTTGGCCACCACTTACTCTTTTCCAACCTGCACCACAGCTGTTGCTTTTATCTACGAACGGACTGTAATCTTAACCGCTTTCGAAAAAAACAATACCCGTAACTTATCACCGCTCTCTCATCACTTCAAAAATTAAACACAGACTTTTGAGACCGTTTGGAACTACTCAGAACACATTACTGATGCTCCAGGCTATTAGCCACATACTATGTCTCTGTCTTTGTCTGGATTCAACATAGAACTTGGCACCCAAGTGCAGAAGTTCGAGTTGCCACGTTCCAAATACCACACAAAGGTAGATAAGAAGATGAGTGAAGAGAATCAATAGAATACAGATAAGTATAAGAGTGAAACAGAATGAGTAATGGTAGAAAGGAATATGAAAGGTTAAAGAGACCGACTACATCTGCGTAAGCCATTGACAACGATTTTGAGCCATGTCACCTATTGTCTCCAGCCACCATTGATTCTTAGAGTCCCGAGGGCGAGCCCCAACCCGGAAGTCTGCATCTCCCTACCTGACTCAGTTCAACTGTCAGGGATTTCATGGATTGATGAGACCATGTTTTTGTTTGGCCACCACTTACTCTTTTCCAACCTGCACCCATATCAGCTAGTAATACCCGTCGGGAGGGGGAGGCGATGGTTAGGCATGCGCAGCACGTGACCTAGCCATCTCAATCTATGTAACTTTATAGCCTCGTCGATTGACTTTCACTCTGGATAGACGAACACTATATAAATTTGTTAATTTGGTTAGTTAGTTAAATTGGATTTTATGTTCTTTAGTTATCATATACTACTGTCTCTATATTAAGCTTTCATACATTATACTGGTAGTAGTAAGTTGATATCGTGGGTTTGAATTGTTGGGAGTATATCCAGTGTCTAGTTGATTATGGTTTTCAAATTACACCTTTGTATCTGTCTAACACTCATCAACTCTGAAGGACATGTTAACAGAACTTGTAACTAGGATGTAGAATTTATATCTGTGTGTCAGACAAACATTACACACTGGAGACAAATTCAAAGACAAATCTGACAGGTGAATCAGGTAACTTATTTTGAATCGCCTTAGTAACCTCTTAATTCTTACATCTTCACTTCGTTTCTTTATCATATATCGGAGGTATACAATGCCCATATGAATGATAATTTGAATTTCTCTGTAACAATAGCCAGCAAGTATATCTGAGACAAACTTAAACTGCACAAAAAAACACGTGGTCGGTCAGTAGACTATAGATTGAAGTGAATATCAATATAGCGAAAATATTCATTCAGACATCTATAAAACACAAAATAATTGAGCAAAGAATATCCTTTTCGATAAATTCCTTTTCTGGCTCTACAATTATATATATATGCTTATATACATGGAATATTCTAGAATAGTAGTCTATAACAATATTAGTGTCTTTTAAATAATATCGATTTGTAAAGTAACATCACAATGGAATTACAGTTCATTAAAGATGCTTAAATCATAATAATAATAAAGATATAGTAGCGAATAGAATATCAACTAAAATTAGGAAAATTCCACAAAAATTCAGGATCATTCAAACCTAGATGGCCAAGGTAAGGAGAATGTCTGAACTAACTTCTTCGGACGCACAAATTAGACTTCTCAATGTGGATCTCAGCAGCCTCAGTAATATTTAGTAGTCGAACTCTTAAGGCAAAATTGAGATTCGTAGGCATCCGGTAAATGACCCTGAAAGCATGATTAACGTCAATCTTGTGTTCTGTATCCACAAGATGAGAAAGAATAGCGCTGCGACTAGATTTTGTTTGTCATTTGCTTAACCGCACAGACGGTGATGTTCGGAAATTCGACGAGAAACACGCCTAATTGTACGGCCTATGTAACTGGCTCACTCCATAGGAGCAGTTAAATTGGTAGATACATATGGATATTGTTATTGACTACTATTCTAGAATACTCCATGCATATAAGCATATATATATATATAATTGTAGAGCCAGAAGAGGAATTTATCGAATCAATAGTATCACTAGATTACAGTTCAATGGCATCAACATAAAATAAGCTGAATATCAGAAAAACTAGGAAGGATAATATTACAAATTTATGAATTTATACTCTCTACTGAAGACCGGCTAGAGCAGTAGTAGTAATGGCTAGCTGGACTTGCTTCTTTTGCACACAAAGCACTGGTTGTTTCACGCGAATCGCGATAGCCTCTGTTGTTTGGAGCATGCGATACCTGGATATTTTTGGCAATTTATTTGGTACCCGGTAGATGATAGAGAAGGATTCTTCAGTGCTCGCTTTGTGGCCAGTTTGAAACAGGTGGTCTAATATCGAACTGTTGATAATTTTTAATAAACTTTAAACATAGTCATACTGGGAGATGTTCTCAAGCGAGCACGAAAAAATCAAGTCGCTAGAGCAACGGCCGATACAACTCTCTCCACCAACAGCTCAGTTGAATTGATAGATACAATTGGAAGTGGCTAGTCTAGTCTAGGTTAGGTACACTTCATCTTTCAATCGAGGAATCACCAATCGCTATAAAATCGCCTAATCCACATAGAAAGGTTATAAAACTGTGTGTTTGGAATTATCAACATGAAATTAACAAAGATAAGTGCTATAGTCACCACCCACCCACCAACTCACTGAATAACAGCGCGTTAAATCCTCAGGCATCACTGAAGCATGCATACTAGAAGCTGACAAGTAAGTCAACAGAGACCGAATATGATCAACCAACCAACCAACCGACAGGAAATACAAAATAAACTTTAAAAAAAGTAACTCAATGGCCAGCCCATGAATTCTAACTTCTACCAATTTGTGATTTCAGCTCGGACTGGCACCAGCCAATGTAATCAGCAAGTCTTTGACCAAGTTAAACTTTAAGCACCACTAACTGCCAATGGAGTGCGACTACACCATTGACCTTGAAGCACTCACTGAGCGAGTGTCAGTGAAACCTGGCAAATAATGTTGTCATCATCAATAAAATACGCACATCGATTTCTGGCAAGTTTCAGCTTAGGTTTGGGAAAGATTAAGTTACGCTTTAAGCTAAGGACAAGTTAGGGTTGAGTTAACCTTATAAAGGCGACATTAAGGTTGGTTCGGGTACGATTACAGTTAGTTTAGGGATGTTTTCACGTTAGAGTTAGGTTCAGGAAAGATTAGGGTTATTGGTAGGGTTAGAAGATCTAAATAACTGCATGCATAGAATGTGGTTGAATTACTCTGTTGATATAAGGATAGAACTTGTGCATTGTGGTAGAG